AATAGCTTGACCTTCCTTCACTGTGTGTGTATCATGGAAACTAATTACATTTACAGTTACTTACTTTTCAGTATCCAAAAATTCTCTCTCCCTATGGTCAATCTCTGGACAATGATATTTCAAAAGCAACTCCCCCTTTAACCTAGGACACGTCGGCATTCCAGCGGGTGAAACTGACCGGCATCGCCAATAACGGTGATTGTTAACCGCCTGGATTAAAGACTGAGGGGTATCCGTCTCTCTCTGCTCATTTCCGTCTCAGCCGCCTCTGGAGGCATGTGCGCCACGTGACGGCCCCTGAGGACCGGAACACGGTCAGAGCTGCAGGCTGGCACCGGCGGACTCGACGCGTCAGAGCCCCCATTGAAGCTGTCCGAGCCGAGCCTTCCCAGCAGCAGGGTAGCAACACTGAGACGTTCCCTTTCTGGGCTGGGAGCCCGTGTGCCCCACGTCGCTTGATCTGCACAGCAGATGAAAACGTTTGGGACCAGCCTAGCGACTTGCTACTTCTGTGGCCGCTAGACCCCCGGTGGTAGAAAGACAGCAAGGTTTCTTGCTGTCCAGGCACGTTTCCTGGGCGGCCCGCCCGAGATCCGGGACAAAGGAAGTGAAGTGGAGAGAGAAATCCTGAGAAACACAGTTGACGTAGGCTTACATCTGGTTAAGCTCTGGACGCCCGCACGTCCCAAGAAGAAACAAGATGGACGCTGTGCCCCCAGAAGGCACTTCTGTGACCTTAGAATTAAAGTCCGTTCTGATGGGCTGGCCTACTCAAGGCTTATTCTTAAGAATGTATTTTCAGGTAATTATTTAAAGTGACTAATCCTTTCAGCTGCATGTATGAGAGAAAATGTTTTATTGGTCAGGAAAAGAATCTACACAATCTTAAAGCCATCCTCCAAGAACACCTAGTAAAGCTTTAAATTTGAATCATTGCATGTGATTCTAAAAATATGCACAATACGTCTGCGTAATAGTTTTTTGATTAGCTATATTCAGTGCTTCCTTCTAATACATTTTGTCCAAAAATTTTGCCTGGTAAACTGATCAAGTCTAATAAATGATTAACTTTCTCTATTAACTGACAACAAATGAGTGTTATCGGATAACATTTGGAAACTATAATCCTACAGGATTTAAAGTCCTGTGCATTTGGGATTATACTAATTTTTCTTGGTGTTTTATTGAAAGTAACCGACATGCATCGCTGCCTAAGTTTGAGGTTTATAGTGTGATGAGCTGACCTGCGTGTATCGTGGAATGGCTGCCACAGTAGGTTCAGCCCACGCTTGTCTTCTACAGATACAACCAAAAGAAATAGAGAAGAAAAGACAAAAGGAAGTCATGCTCGTTGCGAAGCCTGATTCCCTGGGAAGCATCCCTTCTGCCCTTAATTGTTGTGACCATTAAAATGGTTAAAATTGTTCCAGAAACAAAAAGGGTGAACTGATAGAATTTTAGTTGAGGACATCTGATATGTAAAGAAAGCAAAAGGTAAAGTTGAGTCTTTTCCCTCTGGATGGTGATTTAAATAAAAATGTCTCCCTGAGCCAGTAAAGTTGCGAAGTTAGTAAAAAATTCAGTGAGTAAATGCTCAGAGACAAGAACGGCGAGGATTTGAGATGTCACCCCGCTTGCTAGCTACCAAGGGAGTCGGCCTCGTTTTTCTAGACGCTGGGTGGCCCCGGCTCCCGGCTCGGAGGCAAAGGACTTCGATATTGAGAGCAACGGCAGCATCCAGTGTCCTTGTCTTCTTCCGCTGGCCCCCGGCCCCCGGTTCCCAGGGGCGGTGCAAAGGGGGCCAGATGGCACCAGCCCACGGCGTGGGGTTCCTGCCGAGAGCGGCGCCCTGGGCCCCGGAGCCCAGGCCTTTTATAACAGGCAGGGGTCACGCCCGCTGGGTGCCACAGAGGCTCTCTCTCCCGGGGCTGCTCATTCCACAGGTGCCTTTGGAAAGATCAAGCCGAACCGCGGCAGTCTGTCCTTCCGCCCCCGGGAGGCGCGAAGGCCAGCACAGAGGCCGTGGGGCGCTGGTCTCCTCACTAAGTAACGAATGGCTACGCAGCTCATGAGGGGCATATGTGATAATCCTACTCACCATATTTTTAAAGTCACTTCCAATAAAGAGTGTACAGTCCTTGCACAGCATTCTGTTCCCTCTGGGGTCTGTCTGCCCTGCCTGCAGCTCAGTTTGACCCTTTGGGAACAGAGAACGATAGCAGTGCCCGCTCCGCAGGGCTGCCGCTAGCATCGCGTGGACTAAGGCGTGCGCGGCGCTCGGGGGGCTGCCTGGCGGGCAGCATGCTCGCAACGCAGCGCGGGAATGTCCTTGTTATTAGCTCCAAATTCATCTCTTATAATGGACTGACTTAATAAAGAGGACGTTTTCTCCACGGTAGCTGAGGATGCTGGGAAATTTCCCACTGGTTGGAACTAGCTGGCTTTGTACCTCTGTGGGGACCTGCGTACCCCGATTCCTTGGGGCCCTGGGCAGCCTGTCCTGCTCAGCTGTCCAGCAGTGCTGGGCGCTGGTCAGCTTTACAGGCAGACACGGGGCCACTGAGGCAAGGCTGTCCTGGGGTGGTTCTGGGGCGAATACGCCCCCCGTCTCATACTTGGACGGTGCCGTGCGTGTGTTGGCTCCAAGCTCCTCGTCAGCGTTGGAAGGACGAATTCTAACCGTTTCCATAGAGGCATATTTCATTGTCCGGCCGCCTCTGCTCTCAGGAGGCCAAGCTTCTGGGATGTCCCTCCGGGGTGCACGGAATATGTTTCATTAGGCCGAACTGGTCAGTACTTCCTAACAGAGGTGGCATGTCAACTCGATCTGGATTTACCATTTCCATCCGCTCCAGGAGGGGGGCGTCTGAGGGGAGGGGTTAAGGCTGTGTGTGGAGGTCCCGTGCAGTGTGGTCCCTGTTGGTTTGGAGCGGGCTTACTGTGTGTGTTGTTTGACTCATCAGCCATCTTCTGCACCTACCACGCTGGTCCGCTGGCAGCTACTCTAACGTGAGCTCCCGCTTATAGCCGCCCCCCGCCGCCCCCCCGCCCTGGACCTCACCTTGGCCGGCACTGTCTGGGGGCTGGAGTCGGCCTGGCCCTCCCCGAACCTGCGCCCTGGTCCGGAGGACGTTAGTGCTGGTCGGACCCTCATTCGCTTTCCGAGTTGGGAGGTCGTCTCTCCAGGTCCTTCAGGGAGCCGAGGTCCAGAGTGGGTAGCGACTTAGCCGCCTGAGACGACACAGCCGGTCAGGGGCTGAAATGAAAAAGCCGGGTTTCTTAGCTGTGGGTCATGTTTCCGTCCAACCGCAGTGCTGGTGGGAAGGGCGGTGGGAAACCGGAGCGGGGGAGGGAAGGCTGGCGGCTTTCTCGGGAGAGAGGGTGGCGGGGGAACGCTGGGCTCCGTGTCAGACCCCAGACCGGCTGCGTTGCTCTCTGTTCTCTGCGTATGTACACGGAGGCGTTTAGTTTTCACTTACTGGTTAGTTTCGGAGGGGGCGGAGAGAGGGAAATGGTGATTTGTCCTTCCACTTACCTGCGCCCTCGCCCTTGGTGGTTGACTCTGACGTGCCCTGACTGGGGACAGAACGGCAAACCCAAGGTGTCAGGGCGACGCCCTCCCCCGCTGGGCTCGCCAGCCAGGGCGGAGGTGTGTCTTTGTGTCAGGGTAGCCCCTACGTCACCAGGTTATTGTGAGGACCAGGCGGCAGTAGTGCAGTTCGTGAACTTAGCACCCGGCTCTGCACATGGCAGCTCTCCATACTGCAGAGATTTTGGTCTAGAAAACTGCAGAACACGTGGCAGAGAAAACCGTTCGGGGGAAAAGAAGTTGAAGGGCCACTTTGAGCAAACGTGCTGTGTAAAAACGACTACATGTCATAAAAAAGGTGAGTGTTTACTCCCTTCAAAAGTATTGTAGTTGTATGGATCTATTTTTAATAGCACTGAAAGGAAGATAAAAGCCAATAGCTGGTTTAACTAGAGGTGACCTCAGAGCTAGAATGATGACTTCCGAAGTAAAACTCGCTTTGGCTTCGTCACTAACTATTGCGAGTGTCTGCATTTGACTTTCTCACCATTTAAAGCTCCTAAACGTGAAAGCAGCGCCTCTCCCTCACGCCAAGTTCCCTGGTGGGCGCCGGCAGAGCAATGCGGGGGGACCCGTCCTGACGCGGCCGTGTTCGGGGGCAGAAAGGCACAGACCCTCAGGACAAGCAGAGCCTGTCACTTGCTCCTGGCACGAAAAGAACTCGCCTCCGTGAGGCTTCCCGTTGGGGACGCTGACACCCGTCGAAGTCGGTCCTTGACGACACGCTGAACAGCGATGTGCAGGGGACAGTGATCGGGGGCGACGCCGGGCGTCCGTGATGGGAGTCAGTGACAACAAGCGACCAGGCTGTGCCACCGCTGTCCAGGGGTGTCCCCGGGCCTCAGGCGGGGCACCCAAGCCCACTTCTCAGGGCAGTAAACCTGCGGCCAAGAGCCTGGGGACAGGGAGCCGTCAGCAAGTAGCTCACCTCGTGATTTTGGACCAATGGCTTAACCTGTGGGAAAGGTAACGCTTGTGTCATCTCCAGAAATCTCTGATCTGTGAGCACCTGAGTTTGGGAACCAGGGTCCTGATGTGCACGTGTGACACTCCAGCAGGCTTTGCGGGGGAAGGGAAGGGCTGTGCCGCGGTCCTTTCCCGCCGTGGCGGTGCTCTGCCTCACAAGGCTCAGCCGCGGAGCCTCTGTGTGCGGCGCCTGCAGGGACCCGCGTGGGGAGGGGCCTCTGTGCCCAGGCGGCTTTTGTCTCACAACCTGTTCACTGTCTGAGGTTCCAGTGAATCCACTGTCAACTCGTGACATACCTTGAAGGGAAAAAAACCCCACAAAGTCGTTTCCGGGGTCGTGCTCATGATCCAAAATACATAACACGGCCCTGCCCTTCCGACAAAAGGAAGCTAGCGTGGTGTCCCCTCCGGGAGATGTCCGCTCACCCCCGTCTCTGCCCTCAGGATGGTGCCTCTGCGGTGGTGGCTGCTGTGGCTGCTGCTGGCGCTCGGCTCACGGACCCAGAAGCTGCCCACGCGCGACGAGCTCTTCCAGATGCAGATCCGGGACAAGGCGTTTTTTCACGGCTCCTCGGTGATTCCAGACGGGGCTGAAATTAGCAGCTACCTCTTCAGAGACACGCCCAAAAGGTACGCTCCCTCCCAGCAGCCCTTCTGTTATCAGCGAGCCCAACCAGGATGCCCCCCTCCGAAAAGGAGGGTCCCCCTCCACACTGCTCTGTGACTCTTTGCCTGTTTTCTCGCAGTGGGAGAAAATGGGGGTGCAACTCCTAAGCGTCACCCGGGGGCCCTGATTCTCGCTCCCTGGGACCTCCTGGGTGCAGTGGGCGGGTTTTGCGTTTCTTGCCTTTTGGAATGACTGCTGTCTTTTCTTCAGGACGGGGGGAGTCTCTAAGAAGGACTCTCGAGGATTAAAATGAAACTCATTGAATGCATGTGATTCTTCAAAGGGTGGCATTGAGCCTTAGAAGGGTAATATTTCTTTGGCCAGTAGGATCAGATTCTGAAAGCATCACACCAAACAGTGGTAAAAACTGACACGGTCCATTCACCTTCACAGCAGCATCGACAGATGGGCCTACTGAGGCTTCTACATATTTTGACCTTTAAACATTGCGTATATGTTATATCATTAAGTACATAAGTGTATATCTTTCATCGAAACCAGTTTTATTTAAAGTTACGTGCAGTACCCAACCCCCCGCCCCCCGGCCGTAACTACGTGTCCGTTTAGCCTGGGCGCACGGGCATCCAGAGGGCGACCCTGGGTCACGCCAGCCACGGCCCACGTTCCGAAGACGGAGGGGCGTCAAATCCTTGGTTCTCCTTCTCTTGTCGCTTCAGTTTTGATTGGCAGTAGAAATGGGGGGTGGCCGCCGCCCGCCGCGGCCTGGACGTCACCGTCGGGTCAGTGCACGGTAGCAGGGACCGGCTCTCCTCCCGTGACGGAGGGGCGTGGCCGGGGCATCGTAGCAGCGCTGCCCGAGGGAAACTGTCTGTCTGAATGAACGGGATGGAGGAGTAGTACAGACAACAGTTACGACTCTTTCGGTGACCCCCGCGAGCGTGAAGGCACACGAGCAGGGACGGAGACACAGGAAGGACGCGCCGCGTCCCGGACCGAGGCCCAGTCGGTGAGGGCAGGGCCGGGCGTGGGGTGCGGTCCCATCGCCCCGCTGCACCGAGGCCAGCGGCTTCTTGCCAGACATGTTTGCTTTTTTGGTATTTTGTCTCTCTACATGTTCCAGTGAATCACCTCTTTTCCTTAAAAATGACATTGCTGTCCCAAAAGTGCCTGGGCCCTGCTCTGCCATCTCCTCAAATACAGCTTCCCATGTTAGTACGCATTTCACTGAATCAAATCAGGAGCTTAGCCGCAAACGTCCAGTCTCTCAACATTGAGCTTTGGTTCCAAGAGTGGTCTTAAAAATGAGATGACATTTTTTTTTTCTTTAGAACAACGTGTTCTTACTACAAGATGTTTAAAACAGTGAGCACGTGCCCCTTTGCGCCCTTGGTTTTTATTTCTTTTATTTGTTCTTTCTGTCTTTTTCCCCCACAAATTGTAACTGCGGATTTTGAAATCTACATTTGGGTGAAATGTTAACTTCCAGCCGTTAAGTAAAGAGTTGCAGTCAAGGTAGAAACATCATTTCTAGGGGGTGAAACATGCAGTCACTGTTGATACCACCACTAAAGACAAGATTCCAGAAAAAGTTGAGGAGCAGCACTTAGCAGAAGATAGCGAATTCAAGAAGCACCGGTAGCCGGGACCGGAGGGCGGCTGGGAGCAGGGAGCCTAGTGATCGGTTCGGATCTAGTTTAAAGGCGGAGCCAACAGCGTTGGCAGGGGCCGGGCGTGGGGAGCGGGCGGGAAGACGTCAGCAGTGGCTCTAGGATGTTCGTCCTGAGCAGCTGGGAGGCTGGGGCGCCCTTCACTGAGCAGGGACAGGCTGCAGCAGTGGCTGGTTTGGGGCCGGAATCAGAGTTTTGGATTCGATACCTTCAGTTTAAATTCCCAGAGAAGAGGCGGCGCAGGCAGAGGCCCTGCTCCGTCCCGGGGCGACGCCGTGCTTGGCAGGTGAGAAGGAGCCACAGAGGAGCTGGACGGAGGGGAAGACCACGTGGTCCCTGTGGGGAGGGCGGCGGGGGAGGCTGTGGAGAGGGCCCAGGGCAGAGAGACGCCCGCAGGTGGGACCTGCGGCCGGCGACACCTCCTGGTGCTTCGCCGCGGGGCCGGCGAGCGGCTCCGGGCTCCTGCGCCGAGGCCGCGGGTCCTCGCTTGCAGGATGCAGGCTCTGAAGGACGGTTCAGAGACATCGTCCAGGCTACTCAGAGGAAGAATACGTGGCGTCGTTACAGTCAGGCAGCATTTTTATGCTCCATAAAAAGTCTTTTTAGGCGACGTAACAGAATCTGAAGGGAAAGCGTAGAGCAGGGTGTTTCGATTTTTAAAAAAGACTTGTTTGAAAGTTAGGTTATTTAATTCCACAGAAAGTCTTTCTTTCTGAAACTGAAACAGTGATCTCTATTTTAAAAAAACACTTCTCAAATGGGACTGGATACCTCGATCTAAAACGACAGGGACCAGCAGAGCAGTGAACGACAGCGGCTAATGCCTTTAAGGCGTCCGCTGCCGTGACGGGGCCTCTTGAAGTAGTTGGTGACTCTGTCAGAGTGGCTTTGGGGTACCTGACAAAGGCATTGCCAAGTTTATGGAAAACGCAGGACCCGTAGGTCCTCCTGCCTGGAAACTCTCTTGGTCGTGACTGCCTTTGCCCTGGCCGGGCCTGTGTTCGGTGGCACCCAGGACAGGCAGGAGTTGAGTCTTCACGCACATCCCACCCACGTGACTCGATTCAGCTCATCTCTTTATTATTTCACACCGTGCTGTTGGTAAACCTGGTGGCAGAACGCAGCGCCCCTGGCCTTCCGCCGTGGGTGCTGAAAGGGCCACGATTTGTGTCAAAGAGCCCGTTTTGCGCCCTGTTCAATGAATGAAGGTTAAACCGCGTGCTTTCCCGTGAGCCCTGGCCGTGCGTGTCCGGGTGGCTCGGCTCCGGCTGAGGGGTGTGTTTGCCCACAGGTACTTCTTTGTGGTGGAAGAAGACAACACCCCGCTGTCGGTGACGGTGACACCCTGCGACACGCCCCTGGAGTGGAAGCTGAGCCTGCAGGAGCTGCCGGAGGAGGCCAGCGGGGAGGGCTCAGGTGAGCGGCAACCAGGGTCAGAGAGCAGGCGAGGAGAGCGCAGGCGTGGGCGCCGAAGGGACGCGGCCGGGCTGCTGTTGGGGCGCGCCGCCCCGGCTGTGGTCCGCGGTCCTGCCGGGCGGGGATCCCCCGCTGGCGGCTTCACAGAAGGCTGACGCCCGGGCGCTGTCCCCCGAGGGTCTCATTAACTGCGCCTACGGTCTGCACGCTGGGGCTGTTGCAGGCTCGGCCCAGTGAGCCTGACAGGCAGCCAAGGGGGAGGCCCTCTGATCTCTGGGAACAAAGGGTGGAAACGAGGGAAGCAAGAGGGCATCCGGCACCACCGCAAGTGTGGGGTGAGAGGCGGGCGCGGCAGGCGGGGGCGGGGGGGCGTTGAAAGACATGCCGGCCACGGGAAGTGGACCACGAGGGACCTGGAAATGAGGGGGTCTGTGGGGGGCCCTGGAAAGCTGCCGCTCCCTTCAGGGGGCGACGGCGCCGTAGCTGGAAGGGGGCGAGGGGCCGGTGGGTATATTCAGGGAGATACTGACTACGTATGGGGAGCAACGAGGCTGAGAGGAAAGGGGTGGGCGAGGGGGGCTGTGTTGGTCTCAGGACTGAAATTCGGGCTCCTGGGTACCTCCCCGCCCACCCGCTGGGACGAGCTGGGGAGGTGGGCTCCCGCTCGGCACCCAGTCCTTCCCGATCCCGCGCGCACTGGTGTCCGGGAGTAGCGGACAGTCACAGCACCAGCAGGTGGGAAGAGCTTGTTTCCAGCGCCGCCCCTGCGTCTCGCGCTCCGTCCATGGGAGACGGGGGGCGCTCTGACTGCATGTGCAGGAGAGCGTCCGTCCTCCTGACAAGAGCGGGGTTAGCGAAACGACCGCCATCGAAATGCCACGGACGCTCTCCTCGCTGGAGGCGGGTGGACGGGAGAGGTTGGCCTCTACAAGGGCTGCCGTCTGTGATCCGAAAATTCCTCCCGTGGGAGTCCGTCCTGAGGAAAGACTTTGAAATCAGAAAAGCCCCCCACGTAGATAACAGCACGACTTATAAGGGTCACAAATTAACCAATGGTATCATTTTTAGGCTCTCATCTTAAGTGAGAAAAGCAGGATTCGAAATTGGAGGCTTGTCTGGAGGCAGAGGTGCATGAAAAAGAATGTTATTAAGTTACAAAGCAAAGTGAGAGTACTATCAATAGTGGGAAAATATGGGGGGGCGGGGAAAGGCTGGATGGAAACCACCCCACGTCCTCACGAGGGGCTGCCCGCAGGCCGTGAAGGCGGATGGCTCTCTGTCGGGCTCCCCGTTTCCCGTGCTCTGCTGGGCTCAGGCATCATCCCCACGGCAGAGGGGAGCGCGGAGGGCTCACACGCGGTTCTGCGGGGCCGCCGCAGCCGCAGCCTCGGCCCTGACGAGCCGCCTCTGCCCGTCCCTGTCTTGCAGGTGAGCCGGAGCCGCTGGACCAGCAGAGGCAGCAGGTGACGAGGGAGAGAGGCACGGAGCTGTTCTCCTACAAGGGCAACGACGTGGAGTCCTTCCTGTCTTCCAGCTCCCCCTCTGGCTTGTACCAGCTGGAGCTCCTGTCGACCGAGAAAGACACGCACTTCAAAGTCTACGCCACCACCACGCCGGAGTCTGACCAGCCCTACCCAGAGCTGCCGTACGACCCCAGAGTGGACGTAACGTCCCTGGGGCGCACCACGGTCACGCTGGCCTGGAAACCGAGCCCCACGGCCTCCCTGCTGAGGCAGCCCATCCAGTACTGCGTGGTCATCAACAAAGAGCACAACTTCAAGAGTCTCTGCGCAGTGGAGGCGAAGCTCAGCGTGGACGACGCCTTCATGGTGGCCCCGAAACCGGGCCTGGACTTCAGCCCCTTTGACTTCGCCCACTTCGGATTCCCGTCGGACAATTTGGGTAAGGACCGCGGCTTCCTGACCAAGCCGCCTCCCAAACCGGGCCGCCCCGTCTACTCGCGGCCCAAGGCCGACATCCAGAAGATCTGCATAGGGAACAAGAACGTCTTCACCGTGTCGGACCTGAAGCCTGACACGCAGTACTACTTCGACGTCTTCGTGGCCAACAGCCGCAGCAACCTGAGCACGGCCTACGTGGGCACCTTCGCCCGCACCAAGGAGGAGGCCGAGCAGAAGACGGTCGAGCTGAAGGACGGGAGAGTGACGGACGTGTTTGTGAAAAGGAAGGGGGCCAAGTTCCTGCGGTTCGCGCCCGTCTCCTCTCACCAGAAGGTCACCTTCTTCGTCCACTCCTGCCTGGACGCGGTGCAGGTCCAGGTGAGGAGAGATGGGAAACTGATTCTGTCGCAGAACGTGGAAGGCGTTCGGCAGTTCCTGCTGCGGGGGAAGCCCAAGGCCAAGTACCTCATCCGCCTGAAGGGCAATAAGAAGGGGGCGTCGATGCTGAAAATTCTGGCGAGCACGCGGCCGGGCAAGCACGCCTTCCCCTCGCTGCCCGAGGACACGAGGATCAAGGCCTTCGACAAGCTGCGCACCTGCTCGTCGGCCACCGTGGCCTGGCTGGGCACGCAGGACCGGAACAAGTTTTGCATCTACAAGAAGGAAGTGGATGACAACTACAACGAAGACCAGAAGAAAAGGGAACAGAACCAGTGCCTGGGGCCGGACACGAGGAAGAAGTCAGAGAAGGTCCTCTGTAAGTACTTCCACAGTCAGAACCTGCAGAAAGCGGTGACCACAGAAACAATCAAGGGGCTGCAGCCGGGCAGAGCTTACCTGCTGGACGTGTATGTCGTGGGGCACGGGGGGCACTCGGTGAAGTACCAGAGCAAGGTCGTGAAAACCAGGAGGTTCTGTTAGTGACTCGGGGGCAGGAGCCGGGCGCGGAATGCCGCCGGGAGGGACGGGGCGAGCGGAGTCCCGCGGCGGGGAGCCGCCGGGGCCGCCCTGCGCTGGGGAAGGAGGGCGCCAGCGTGTCTGCCCATGCGGGTGTGTCCCGGCCAGAGGAGGCTTGCTCCAGAGTGTCCCGGGGGCACCGGGTGTGCCGACGTCACGGACAGAGGACGTCTTGAAGGATGCGCTGCCCCTTGCTTTGCCCACTGCATGAACTGCTTCTAAATTATTTTATTACTGAAAAATCTAAAATATGCCATTCGTTGCACACATCCACAGAATGCAAATCCGTCCTCTCTATAGATGCTAGGAGATATATATATATAAATATAATATAAATTATTTTATGAAGTCTTGTTTTAAATGTGCTTCTATGATCGTAAACTATTAAATTCTTTTCCTGTTAAAGTTCAGATTTAATCTAAGTATATTGAGTGGACAGCTCTCTAGTCAGTTATATTGTAAATTCCTCTCCGTTGAGTAAATGTTTAAATGCTGTGTGTATCCCCTGTACAAAGTTGACACATGATATTCATGTACATAAAATTAAAGATATTACATTATATACGGCTCACTTTCCCAAGCAGCTCCCTTGGTGTATTCAGTTAACATTCTGTCCCCCAAACTGCGTCCGTATGTACTTTGGCACCAGAATTGACCCCCCTCTGAGTCGTGCCAAGACGCGCGGCGCCCCCCGCCCCCTGGAAGCTGCCCTAGCGGTGGAGGTGGTGGTCCAGGTTGTGTTTCGACAGCAAGCAGCTCGCTGCTGGGAGCACGGAGGGCCCTGGAGGCCTCGTCTCATCCAAGGGGGCCAGGCCAGACGCGGTAGCCCCATCAGCATCCCGCAGGTCATCCCGACAACCACGACATCGCCTCCACTCTAATAATAAGCACCTGTTTTAAGCACAAAATCGGTGTAATTCCAAGTGTTTTCCCTCTGACTGTAATTAGTGATGAGAAAACAACAAAAAGCTGCTGTTTCGTAACATGAAGAGTCTGGTACTTTTAACTTTGATTTTTCCTGCATTTTTAAGAGGTCGCTCAGGGGTGAGACAAAACTGAGGCCCAGGAGGAGGGCGCCGCGTCTGCGCGGCGCCGCGGGCAGGCCTGTGCCCGGTGCTCCTGTTCCTCACAGGCTCCGGACATGGGCGGCCCGGGGCCCGGACTCTGAGGGGTCTGCCACCTGTGGTCACCTAAGCTCTGCGACTTCAGGAGAACCTGTTCCCCTCCTTGTCTTTCTCTCTTTTTTATAAATTAGGTGGTGACCGGTTGGGACAAGATGGCCACGTAGGATACCTTCTATTACAAGACATTGTTCTTGGCAGAATTCTGTGATTCTCAGTTAGAAAGCATTTCTGGAGCTACGAGTAGGGACGAGGTAGCCCTTGACCCCTCCACGGTCCCCACCGTGCGGGCCGTGCCCTCCGCCTGGGGCGAGCACAGGGGGGGCACCCAGGGAGCGCAGATCGCGGCGGCTCAGGTCGGGCAAGCGGCGTCCCCCCGGCCGGGGCTCTGCCCGCTCGGGAGAAAACATCCTCTGTAACAGTGTACCATCCAACGCGCCCGTGTTACGAGTCCAAACTAGAATGTGTCCCATCTATCTGTACAACACAGCGGTAATACCTGAAATATTTTTTTTAAGAACATGCATGTAACTAACCAAGGAAAACGTTGGTTGAAAGTAAACCTTGACCCTTGACAGCGTCCCAGAGATGTTCTCTTCTAAGTCATAAACGGGGTGCCTTTGGGAGGAGGCCCCACCTCCTCCCATTGCTCACAAATCTGGTGCTGCCCAGCAGCGTGCCGAGATCACTGCGGAGAAGCGGTTGTCGCCGCTGCCGAAGGGGACGTGCTTCGCACCCACGAAGCCTGCGGGCCGGGCAGGCCCATGCAGCCGAGCACTGGCTTTTGAGCCGGCTGTGGCGCTGCTGTCCACAGCGTCCAGGTGCATCCGAGAACCCTTCCCTGGTGTACCAGTGAGATCTGCCTTTTAAAAATTAAAAGAAAGTTAAAGACACATTGTGAAACTTCTGTCACTCAGAAAGAGAAAGTAAACTATTAAAATAATGCTCCCTGATTGGCTACCGTGTTCAGGTTTTTGGGGCATCAGGTGGACTGAGAGCAAGAAAGAAAAACTTGTTCTTGATTAACAGAAGGACTAGAAAGAAGCCACTACAAGAAAGAAAGCACCGCCTCACGTCCACCAGGCTCCCGGCGTCTGTGCAGTGAGCAGGGCCTCGGAGCCTCCCTGGGGTCGAGGGGCTAGGCTGGGCACACGCAGTGCAAGGTCACAATCTTCATTTTCCATGTGCAAGAAGACATGGATGACCCGAGAAATAAAAGCAGAGTTCTCCTGGTTGAAACGGGGGTGGCGAAATTGCCCGGGCTCCACAATCCTTACCGGGGCGAAAATCAGCAGTCCTCATGGAGGCGGGGAGGCGCCCGTGGGTCACTCTCTGAGTGGAGATAAACTTTCAGGCAATTTTAAAGCAACTCATTCTTAAAGAGCACCTCGGATTGCCTTAAGAGTATGTGTATAACCTACGGCCGATAACTCCCAATTTGTAAGGGAGAAATTGCGTGGCTCTTTCTAGAGATGCAAAGTATTCTACTCTAGCTTCAGATGCACATACAAACTTGAGGCTATGAGATCATTAGTCAGTTGCTGAAATGATAGCCCCATATTTGTTAAACCTGAAACTCTCCAGAATCTATGAAAATTCTAGCAGATGACTCTCTTGGTTAAGCTTCTTTATGGTCAGTGTGCAGATTAATTTTGAAGCGGCTTTGGAGGGTCAGTGTTGGGGAGACAGAAGCACCCCACGGTTTTGCTCCTCAGGTTCCATTTGAAAAAAACTATGATTTTGGAATCCTGAAAAGCCAAATGATGTGACTTCAATAAAATCATCACTCCAATGAACTCTAACGTCTGAAATCAGCTTAATGGCCCCCCTTTTTTTAAGCTCAATGGTCCTTAATAGCTTGGGGGGTCCAGAAGCCGTCGGGGGATGCACGCAGAGTCTTGCGTACAGCTCACAGGGCTTGATGCACCTGTGGCCGGTCGAGGTCCCTTTCAGTACGAACCAGCCCCTCTCGGAGACCAGCCAGTCCACGGCCTCCTTTCAGACGTGAGGAACTGAGGCCCCATGAGCCCCGAACCCCGGTTTCTGGGCTCCCCATTCAGAAAGCCGCAGTGTGTCTCACCCCGACTCTATCTCTCTGTCTGTTGAGGGACTGGCGTCAAAGCAAAACAAAACCAGCGCTGAACTCGAACACAGTCACAGGGAGCTTCTGTAGCCACTCCTGCTTCTCTCTGATACAGTGTCATCGGGAGAAGAGAGACCAGCTGGGAACTGGCCTTGGGGTCTGTCCTCAGGCCAGTGAAGTGGCCTCGGCCATCCTGGGCGCTCGCCCGCGGGGCCTGGGCAGCCCCAGGGCACACTCACCGCTGCGCTCTCCCCGAGAGTGTCGGCCAGGGAACTGCGCTGTGGTTTGGGACTTGGGACTATTTTTTTGTTGTTGTTATTTTGAGGGTGAAAAGTGGAAGGAAGGGGGCCACAGAGGGGAGATAGAGAAAAGTTTAGTTTTGTCTCATTTCTCTCTCTACAGGGGTGGCCAGATCAAATGTGGCTTAATTTTACAAGGGTTTGGGATTCTGTCCTACACGAGACTTTACCTTAACTGCCGTCTACTACCATTGTGATAGACGCTCTGGTTTCCTGGGAATGGCAGGTCGTGTGTCTGGGTAAAATTTCCTTCATCTCTGATTATTTCCTTTCTTCCTCCTCAACCTTTGAGAAACAAACAGTGGTCAAAGTTTAAAGAGCAAATGAACTAGAATGGCTTTTCATAACTACCTGGTACCGCTTTCAAAGACATTTTAAAATGTTCATTCAAAGGAGGCTACCGGTCACCACCACAGAAGAGCAGTTGTCTCTGGGGTTGGCACGGTCCGGGCCTGGGGCGTGGCCCACGGCCGCGCTGTCCTCAGCTACTGATCGCGCGGGGCAGCCGCTTTCTCACAGGTCGGTGGGGGGAGCTTGGTGCAGCGAGGGTCGGTCCCAGGAAAAGACCCACCAAAACCAGAAAACTGGAACGTGTAGTGATTTCTTGTAACTTGTTAGAAAGCTAGAGCCTAGAGGCTTTGAGCAAGGGACGCTTGGAGCCTCCTTGGACATGGGAGTCCCAAGACTTCCGATTTGGGAACAATGATCTGAATGGCACCTGAGGTGTAAAACAGAGCAGTCGGAGCAGATGGCTTCTTGCTGTGGGTGAAGAGGTCCAGTCAGAACCGTCTAGAAAAAGTAACCATCTTACAACTAAGATGGGGTGGCCGTGTTGCTTTGTTTTTGAGTCCAGAATTATCGTCAGAAAAGGGTAGCTTTTAAGCAGCAATTTAAAAATAATTGCCATCTCTCTCATCTTGCATAAATAACCCGCCAAGATTAATATCCAAGCAAATGGCCCTAATTTGTAAATAAGCAAATATCTAAGTCTTGTCTATAGTTAGTTCTTTGTGTAATCCTTTCAACTCATGTACATGGAGCAGCCCAGGTTACATACACAGTTGTGTAAGGTATAGGTACTTGACAAGACCCCCAAATGTCCATCTTTAATTGCAACTCTGACAGGGTTTTGCTTCTGAGAAAAGTCGTTTGTCTTCAGCGGAGCCCAGCATGTGAATCCATGGTAGGGTTAGGGGTCTGGCTGTTCAGCCTCACCTCTCCCTGTGAAATAACTCAGACCTCTGAAATGAGGTTAATACCTTAGCCTCTTTATCATGCGGCCTGGGAGAGTTGCTCACGCCCAGCCAACGGGCAGCTTCTAGAAGCAGCGAGTTACCCCTGAGAACCACAGAACTGTCCCAGAGGCCTCTGCGTCTGCCCCACCCAGTCCTGCCCTTCCGCAGACTTCTGTGGCTAGAATTAGCAGGCCGCGGCTGACCCACTTCACAGCTACCCCCCAGA